TGATGCTGCTTGGCCTGCTGTGTTCATCCAGCTCTACACCTTGTTGTCTCTAATGTGTTACCTAGCTTTGTCTAGATGGATTTTGATTTTACAGGGACACCTAATTAAAAGTTTTCGACAGTGTGGTGATTACAGAATTTGTGAAACATTAATGTGATTTTAGTAAATTTTGTAAAATTGATATTTGAGGAAGGATCCAGTGAGTTGGTGCACATTGAACCTATGTGATTGTAGGATATGCACATGTTAAACTCCATCGTTATGGATGCCAAAGACCGGCAGTTGTCACTTATCAAGCCCCACGATATTGAAAATACATAAATTTTATGGAGTGCAGCCAATATATCCACACAAACAATATGTTAGATGATTGAAGATTTAATATTGTTGTCCTTAGGTGAAGAATGTTGACCATGCCATTGGTAGAACTCTGTTTCGATTGATTTGTTTCAGAGTTGTTTTCTGTCCATTTGAATCATTACATCAGATGAACGGAGCCTTAATTTAAGATGCTATCCAAAATTCAATACCCCTGACAATGTATGAGTATACTGCACTCAAATGTAACTTTGGCTTAAGTATGTATCAGCTGGATTTACATAATTCAGAGGTAAGGGTACTAACAACTGATGTTTGTGAGACATCTGCAGAGATTTGTCACTATCACTGTCACTGATATTGTAAAACATGTACTAACATTTGTATGACATGAAGGAACATTGCCCACCTGTTGTAAGACCTTTAAGACCAGGAGAGGGATTTCTTTCATTGCAGGTCAATGCAAGGTTTCTCCTTAATAAGATGGCTCCTCTTCTTCCATCATTATCTGTCCCAATTAATCAGATAGAAACATTTGAAGACTTGGCTTGGGGCTGAGTTCCTGCTGCTGCAGCCCCTGATAACTGTTCCTTTGTTCCAGTAACTTCGCAGGAATGCCACTTTTGAAAACAGGACAGGAATGATTGTAAATTTTTTTTCCTCATAGGTTCTATTTCAGTTGAGAGCATGAGATACAGAAGTAATTGATCTTGGTTTAGCCATGGTTAATTTATTGAAAGGTTTTGGTTATTTTAGATCAATAATAATGCTGGTTCTCACCGGTGTACTTGATGTTTGTGTAATCACTATCATGTCACTTGGTTTTCCTAGATAATGGATTTTTGCTCCTGAAATACAGTTCATTTGGAACTGAATGCTCTCAAGCCAAATTCCCTTTTGAGTGCTGTGTCAAAGATCTGTTGAGATTCAGATTTCACATAGCAAGGACAAGTTTGCTTATCTATTATCTGTCAATATTACAGTTCATTTGCAAGATCAATTTAACATAGGGACAAGGAAATGGCCTTGCATTCTTCCAGTACTGCAATGTCTGGGAAGCATGATTCTCTCCTTGTGCAAAATTACATTTCTAAAATAGACTTGTTCTGTAACCCTTAGTTTGTCTCCCAATGCACCTTGCTATAAGAGTCTTGAATTGCTGTAGTCCTGAACTACATCAGTATACCAACATTGTGACAGTAATAACAGTCTTTGTTCAAAAGAATTAAAATCACTTGAGTCCAATATTCCTGGAATGGGGAGGGCTCATCAGCCATGTAACTGGGGCAGTTGAGTGAATTTGGAACAGAATCCGCTGTGCCAGAAGCGAAGATCAGTGCTTCTGCATCTTTAAGAATATTCACCTTTGTTCTGATACATACAAATGTACAAATTAGGAGCAGAAATAGGCCACTTGGCCCCTTGAGCCTGCTCTATCATTCATTAAGATCACGGCTGATCTGGATACTCCACATTCCTGTCTACCCCGATAGCCTTTCACTTGCTTTCCTAAAAAATAGTATCTGCCTTAAAAATATTCAGAGGCTCTGCTTCCACTGACTTTTCAAGAACAGAAATCCAAAGAAACGCAAGCCTCTGAGAAAATAATTCTCATCTGTCTTAAATAGGTAACCCTTATTTTTAAAAGCAACCCTTTACTTGTAGATTCTCTCGCAAGAGAAATGCCCCTGTCACATCCAGGAATCTTCAGATTCGAGTCTGTTTCAATCCAACCACCCCTTACTTTTCTAAACTCCAGTGAATACAGGCTTATCCTGTCAAACCTTTCTTCACAAGACAACTCTCCCATTTCCAGGTATTACTACCATAACTTTCTTTGAACTTTTCCACTGCATTTACATCCTTTCTTAAATAAGTAAACCAACACCATACACAGCAATCCAGATGTGATGTCACCAATGCCCAGTACCTTTGAAACATCATCTTCCTACTATTGTGTTCAATTATTCTTGCAATAAATTGTAGCATTCTGTTACTTTCCTAATTACCTGCTGTCCCTGCAGATAACTGAGCAATTCATATACTTGTATACCCAGGTCCCTCTGTATCATAGAGCTCTACAAGTGCTCATCATTTAGATAATCTACCTTTTTATTTTTCTTGCCATGTTTCGTGTTTTTCCACATTTGCCATATCTTTGTCCACTCACTTCACCTATCTATATCCCTTTGTGGCTTCCTTGTGTCCTCTTTACATTCCTAACCTTTTTTTGTGATTAGCAAATTTGGTGAACTTAAACTTAATCCCTTCAATCGAAGTCATTCATATAAGTTGTAAAAACTTGGAGTGCCAGGACAATTCCGAATAGCACACCGTGTGTTAAATCTTCACAACCGGAATATTACCCATTTATGATTATGCTCTCTCTTCTTATAGCAACCTAATCTTCTATTTGTGCTTACATGTTGCCCTTCTCCCGCCTTGAGGTTTTATTTCCCACGATAACCTGTGAGGCACCGTATCTAAAGCTTTCTAGAAATCAGTGCGTCCACCAGTTCCTC